ATCCCAGTTTAAGATGGGGTTATAGGCCTAGTGACTACTCGAGGGCAAGTGATTATTCCAGGGCAAGTGACTATTCCAGGGCAAGTGACTACTCTAGACCGAGTGACTATTCAAGATGGGGTTCACCTGATGATGACAATGGCCATGGAGATTCGCCCAGTACAGTCTCATTTTCACCAATGTCTTATGGTGGACCCACCTCTAATGAAGATGGGTATGGCATTCCAGGGAATTCAAGGTACTGTCTGATTGCAAGTAAGCAAATGGTCGGAATTTTTCTTACTGTGTGGGTGAGAAGTGAATTGAAAGATCATGTCCGAAACATGAAAGTATCATGTGTTGGCAGAGGATTGATGGGTTATCTTGGAAATAAGGTGAATTTTAAATCAGTCATGACAGTCCTTTTTTTTACCTTAGATAGTTAGATGTATTATGTATATTCATTTGGCAAAAGTACTTGTTACTTGAAAATTTGAAATTGGCTTAAATGAGAGAGTTATTATGCTTGTACTTTCAGGGATCAATCTCAGTTAGCATGTCTCTACATGAAACAAGCTTTTGCTTCGTTTGTAGCCATTTAACCTCAGGACAAAAAGAGGGTGACGAGCTAAGAAGAAATTCTGATGTGATGGAGATTCTTAAAAAGACAAGGTTTCCCCGTGTTCATGGTGCAGGCAATGAGAAGTCTCCTGAGACAATCCTTGAGCACGAGTAAGAATCTACTCGCATACCTTATCAGTATAACTATTATTTTGAATTTGTACTCTAATATGAGCACCCCTGTCCTATTGCAATTGCTAATATATCTCCTTGTCTAGATTCTACTGTTACATTATGATTTCAATCTCTTTTCATTTAACAACAGCTTTGTGTTAACTGTTCTAATCTTGATTTTAAATTCTACAGTCGAATTATATGGCTTGGAGATTTGAATTATCGGATTGCCCTCTCCTACCGTTCTGCTACAGCACTCGTTCAGATGCAGAACTGGAGAGCATTGTTGGAGAATGATCAGGTATATATGCCTGTATTACCTCATTATAAATATCTCCATTTTCTCTTCAGCCTTCAAAGCTTTAACTGCATTGTTATGTATCAAACAATCACTCTCATATGTATTGACATTCCTTACAGTTGAGAATAGAGCAGAAAAGAGGTCGTGCATTTGTTGGATGGAATGAAGGAAAAATTTATTTCCCTCCAACGTACAAGTATTCAACTAATTCAGATAGATACGCTGGAGGCGATATGCACCCGAAGGAGAAAAGGCGAACACCTGCTTGGTAAGTTAATCAGTCACCTAATTAAAGTAATGAGAATTTGTCAGAAATCCTACAACCCACATTTGTGAAAAAGAGGCAATTATGGCATTACATTGTTAAGCTGTTGCAACTTATGCCAATATAACAACTATTAGAGTGTTGCTTGCCAAGTTAATCAATCGCCTAATCAAAGTGGCAAGAATTTGTCACAAACCCCCCAACCTGTGTATGCAAAAAAGAGGCAATTATGATATTATCTTGTTAAGGTGTTGCAACTTATGCTAATACAGCAAAAATTTCTTCTGTATAGGTGTGACCGTATTTTGTGGTATGGAGAAGGCCTTCATCAATTATCTTATGTCCGCGGAGAATCAAGGTTTTCAGACCACAGACCTGTTTATGGCATATTTTGGGCTGAGGTTGAGTCAAGTCATGGAAGATTGAAGAAAAGTATGAGTTGTTCTCGATCCCGAATCGAGGTGGAGGAACTTCTGCCACACGCTCGCGGATATACGGAACTAAGCTTTTTCTGAAGGAATGAAAGGATGGGCAGATATTAGATATTCACGTACTCACTCTACCCCTTGTGCACATGCTCACAATTATAAGAATACAAGATTCTTGCTTGTAAGATAGTGCAAACTTAGGTACAAATAGAGAAATGATGTGATTTATTTATTTTTTTAAGATCATGAGCACATAGATACAAACTGAGAAATGAACATACTTGGATGTTCTTTACTAATAGTAATAGGTGTATCTTTCTTTTTTAGATATACAAATCCGTTCATGAATCTGTTGTAGAATATTATCAGAATGAAAAATGATATATGTTCACATCATAGGCTAAATAGTAGTGTCTACAATTCTACATCTCAATCTTTCTTTGTTGTTGCTTTGAAGTCCTTTTCTCTGTCTCTCCTTATCATTGTTAGAATTATTATTTTTTGCCCGTTAATCAGAAATGTCACATGCACTATTACTATTGTTTACTCCAGCAACTGGTCAACAAAAGGGAAATTAAACTTTGAAGAGATTCATCCATAATAGATGAGTTGATAGAGACAACCCATTTCCCAAATACCGAAAAAGGTTAGTTTTATTTTTCTTGGTTCTGCTTTTGGTCTGAACTTCTTTCTCTAACTTTAACTTTACTTTTTTCATTGTCAGGTGCAAATATGTAATTTTGTTCTATATTGCAGTCATGCTTTGCAACACACATCATTAGGTACTTACATTATTCTTTTCTTATTAAAGTTAATGACATATTCACGCAGACTCATAACCAAAGCATTTTATTTGTTATGCAGGAAAGGAAGAAGATGACTTTTTTATTCGTGAAGATTTTTTTGTTTTTTTTAGGAATATTTTTTATGCAGAATGAAGGTGAAAAGATCATCAAGTAATTATTAGGGTACAAACTTTTTTTGTTTCTAGTTTAAAAAAGATGAGAGTTTTGATGTCTACTGATTGCTATAGAGATGTAAAAGAAATTGTATAAATAGGAAAAAATGAAAATTAAGCTCTGTTATTTTGTCCACTTTGATACAATAGGATCTAATAATAACATGTTCTGTTCGTGCAATTTCTGCTTCCCGTTCTTTACTAGTAGTTCAAGTCTACTGAAAAATCTACAAATAAAATAAAATCATATTAGGACTATAGGCTAGACTCTTAGTTTATTCTCAAGTTCATTTTTTATATGAAATTATAGTTTGCAAGTAATTCAACACGAGTGAATGTTTTCAAAAAATGGTGAACACATTATCTGTTTTTTAAATAGTGAATATATTATGACTTGCTCACTTTAGAGATAAACTGTGTTAAAGTAAGCAAATGGAAAGTTTAAACCCAATTATATAAACAGTTTCAGTTAAGAATGTTTGCTTCCTCCTTCTACACGTGGTTCTTTCTTGTTGTAATATTTTAATGCATTATAGATAACATCATACTAACTGAATAGAGTTAGTTCCCTCAGCCTGAAATACAGAAAGTTGGTTATCTGCATAACCAAACTATGTCTAATTTTCCATTTAAGCATATTATAAATACATGTATATTCCAGATTCCAGGTGTGAACACATTAAAACATAAATCCGCCGCCAAAAACAAAATGCATTCCATTAGAGAGTAGGAGGAGTTGTTTACCAACACCACCTTTTCTTTTGTCAGTTTCTTTGTCTACAAAAGCCAGCCCCCATTCATCCTTCTTCTCAACAAAGAAAAGGGATTCCAACAGATTAGCATTGATCAATTCCAATTCCAATGGCACACAGAAGAATGGAGTTGGAGATGGGTTTGGTTGTGGTTGCATTGGCCATGCTGTTGACAGGAGGTGGCGGGCAATCGAGTTGTGTTAATACATTAGTGAGCTTGTCGCCGTGCCTGAACTATATAACCGGGAATTCCTCAACCCCATCTTCAGGATGCTGCTCACAGCTTGCCAGTGTAGTACGCTCATCGCCCCAATGCCTGTGTCAGGTTCTTAATGGAGGTGGATCATCGCTGGGGATCAACGTCAACCAAACTCAAGCTCTAGCCTTGCCTGGCGCTTGCAGTGTGCAGACCCCACCCAGCAGTCAGTGTAACGGTGAGACAACAATATTCTACTCAACTAAAATTCCCTTTAATAGAATGTCTAAATTAGCCTATAGAATGAAAATCCATATCTTTGTAGATTGTAGTAACTTACCTAATAATGATAATGTATATGAAAACAGCTGCATCACCAGCAGGAACAGTTGTGGACACACCAGCAGACTCTCCAAATTCAATTCCATCAGGTATCATAACATTGAGGAAGTATTTTAGTTGACATACTCCACATTTTGATCATCCAAGCTGTCATTAACTTGCAGGAACTGTACCCACAACTGAGAGTGGGTCATCTGCTGGGAATTCAATCAAGTTCTCAATTCCTCTGTTCCTTATTTTGGCAGCAACCTATGCTTCAACTTTCAGCACATACTGATTCTACATGCCCATTCTTTTATCAAATGGAGTTATTGCTGATTGTCCTTGTTTTCTTCATATGTTTCAATCTGTTCATTTTTGAAATCTCTACTGAGTTACATGCTTTTGTATTATGAGATATTTACTCCGTATTATATATAATAAAGACTGATTACAATTTGTGGCTTGCTATTGTAATCATTGAGGCAACGTCAGAAAACATGCTTAACAAATAACAATGAGGACCTATTTCCTACATGAAAAACATCTACAATGTTTTGAAGTGTTAACAATAATAAAATTGCTTAAGCAATAAAGTACGGAGGAATTAATAATGCATCTAACTCAGAGGAAGCATGAGCTTAAGTTAAGAGTGACAAATGTGTAAGCATCTCCATTGAGTTTGTCATGACTCATGACCAATGGAAGCTGAAGCTGACCAAGTAGTACAAATCAAGAGAAGAGTATATAAACCCTGTCCTCCAAAAACTCCTTCACATTATAAATCATAATCACTCTCTCAAATGCGCTGTCCCTATCCTTCAACGGCTTCTCAAATATTTATGAACAGTATTTGAACTAAAATTAATGCATCTAACTCATAACTTAAATATTTGTCTGAAAAGCTTGAGTGGATGGGGAGCTATTGCAAGTGGGATACCTTCTGTAGCACACTTTCCCCATCTTCACGTATATAAGGCCAGCCCCATCACAAAATCAAAATCAATCACTCCTTCTTTTCCTCTCTCAAATCAATCCCTTCTCTCCCCACACAAACACAAAGGACTTCAGGGGAATGTTGTCCGGTTCGACACCATTCTTATGAACTAAAAGATATCATAGAATGATTTCGGACCAGGCTTCATTCCCCTTAACTTCAAGTGTATAACAAGGTAAAGTAATGATAGGTGATGATACTATTTAAAGTTTCATCAATTCAATCCATTCTAGATGATTAAATGGCCAAGTAACATGTAACCATTATTTTCTCTTCATAATTTAATTTCATGCAAGTTTGCATTGAGACTAGAAAGCTCAAACTCCAATGAAAATATTTTGAACTTGTTATTGAACAAGATTATTAACCTATCTGCTACCATTCCAAATATAACTATGTTTTTTGACTCTAGAATGAATGTTTGTCCTACATTTTATTATTTTACTTAATTTATTTGGTCATGCATAGAGGAAGTTGCATTCATCAACCTTCATAAGTATCATTTTCTGTTTTGCAAGTTCGACTAGCTAGTAGCTACTATAATTCCTTTCATTTGTTAAATCCTTAAATATATTCATCAAATCTGAGAAAAATGACAACAATGAAGTTAAACTGAAACAAAACAGTAACTACACAAATATTCTTTGGAATTTGGTGGTGCCCTTCACTTCTTTTCACCAAATTTGCTGGAAAAAAAGAGGTGTTAGTGTGAAACATTACTGAAAGGGGTTAACCAATCAAAGTGATGGGTTGTCTCTCTCTTTTTTGTTAAGTGGCTTTGCTTGTGGAGAGTTGCAAGGAATATAAGTTTCGGGGCTTTCACTTTATTTGTTGCATGAAATGAGGGATTCTTTTGAGTACAGAACCAAATAACCAATCAAAGTGAAGCTTGTTACATATCATATTTACTTTAATTTTGAAGCTTGTCATTATATGATATGAGAGTAATTATTACAAACAAATCTAAATCATTAATAAAACATTTATGAGACAAATTTATTCAGTCTGTTAAATATCAACAATTTGGTATCTGGTACCATTAATCCGCGACCACACTAATTATTTTTCATGAAAATGCATTTTCCTAAACGTTGAAAGAGTATAATGTTTGGCATCGATGAGAATAGTGAATAATATGGAAGAAATGATATAACATACATATAGTTGAATAGAAATATAAATTGGACTTTGACTTTCATGGATGGATCTTTGCCACCACTAATTAATTAATAATCACTTTAATGTAACCAATGTTTTATTTCGTATCTCTCACCAATTAAATATTGTCACATAAATAAAAAAGAATTTTTTTAAACGCAAAAAAATATTTTTATATTAATTATTAAGAAAATATTCATGTATATAATTTGGATAGTTTATTCACGAACTAGTAAATATGTTAGAATTCCATGAAGTATATACAAAATCCTAGGAGAAGGGTAAATTTTGACAAGTAAAATAAATGCTATAGAAGAACCGACTGATGTGCAACACTTTCCCTCCAGATTTTGATGACTTTCTCCATTGGTAACTCATACCATGTTCTCAATTATGGACACCATGATTGGATTAGGTGGAAGTGAAGTGTTGCCGTAAGAGTTTTTTACACCGGCACATAAACGAAAAGTGATCGAGAATATATTATTGCTCTAAGAATATGATTAAATGATATACATGTCACGATTTTAGTAGTTGGAGGAGATAATTATCTCCATATACATTATTCTCTTGTATAAATCTTTATCCATGAGAATGGCTGGTTAAATGTAATTTGGGCATGATGAGACGAATGGAGTAGGGTAGTTTTGGGCCGTAGTACAACACATGAGGCCCATAGGAATTATTGTGCCACGTAGACACGTTTATTTATTTATTTATCAAACTTTATTATCCCTTTTTGCAATCATTCTCTATCCTCTTGCGCTGTTTCTGGTGGTTGGTTTCTTTGACATGTTTTTTGTTGAAAGAACGACGTCGTTCTTTTATGCTGCTGCTATCTCCTTTTCTCCATCTAATTTTTGATTCAATCGATCTATGATTTTATAGAATAATTGAAATTAATATATTATTATATAAAAGAATGGAGGATGCATTTTACTTGGATATAGTTGAGTTTTTGAAGAAACCTTCCGTAACGGAAACATTCGTCGACATTTTACTATGCGCTGTTCCGATTTGGGTGGCCGTTATGATCGGCTTGCTCATCGGCTGGTCCTGGCGCCCTAGATGGACCGGTTTGATTTTTATCGGCTTACGTACCAAGTTCCGGTTCATCTGGACCGCTCCACCTGGCTTCGGTGCTCGTCGTCTCTGGTTCGCCTTCACCGCTCTCTCTGCTTTCTCCATTTGCCGCACCTTTTGGTCCAATTTCAATGGCAGACGCAAGGATGACCCTCAACCCCATTCAACAACACAATCTGACAACGCCCACTCCGATTTTGGAAACACAACCGATCGGTAATTGAATTTTTGGCTTGTCTTCCCTGTTGTTGGGTTTGTTTTTAAATTACTTTTTGATTTGATGATTCCGCTTTCATTACTAGCAAGTTTGATTTTTTATTATCTAGGAGGTGTTTGGAGGAGTTTATGGAAAACTTGTCTGAGTTTACTAGGATAGCTTATGACACTCTATAAGCTCTTTTAGCTTATAAAGGCAACTTATGAAAATAATTTATGCACTTTGATAAGCTCTCTGTAACTTATGTCAAAATGGGGTGAACTTTAGCGCGAAGCTAAGGTTGTTGCCTTGTGAAAGGGAGGTCATAGTTCAAATCTTGGAAACTGCCTCTTAGCTTATTTGAAAGAGGTTATAGAAAGCTTATTTGAGATTATGAGCTATGAAAATAAACTTATGAAGATAGCTTATGGAAATATCATGACACAACCTTGTCAGACGAGCTTAGAGGTAGCTTATGGAATAAGCACTTAGGGTGTGTCTGTATAACATTATATATGGTAAAAAAACCTTATTGGAAACCAAAATCAGCTGGTTCTTTCAGCTGTTGCATGTTTGGAAAGAATAGATGACGGCACACAACAGCTTTTTCTCTCAGTTTCTTTGAAATTGGGCATTTGATTTATTTTTAGAATCTAATAATCCCATTATTCATGAATGTGATCCAAACACACTTTTAATTAAGCTGTTTACCCAAACGCAACCTTGGTAACTTTCCGTAAATTTCATGTTCTATTTAGCGACCGCACCACTATTTTTAAATAAAGATTGAAGATATTGGTTATAGCATTGATAATGGTTTTGTTCTTAGAATTAGTACAAAAAGAATGAAGCATTTGATTCATTTTAAAACTTGGTTATCGCATGTGCATTAGGTCTGGTGATAGAGCTGAGGAAGAGAGAGAGCAGGATATTGTTACACGGGCTGATTTGGAACATCTTTTTCATCTTCTTGAAGGGAACGATGGAGCGATGGATTGGCAATGTTTTATGGAGAAGCCAACACCCAACATGCAATACAGTGCTTGGCGTCATGATCCGGAGGTAGGTAGATTCTAAGCTTCATTTTTCATCTCATGTAGATTCTTCTCTATAATCAGATGAAAACTCATACATGACCTATATGAATGATGAATTTGGATATCCTTTTTATCAGAAGCACTTATCCCTCGTATCTGAAATTGGATTTTATGTCATTTCAAATGCCCACAATATTCTACTCCCATCATCATTATCATAGATTTGGTGATTATTTATTTTTGTAGTTCCATAGTAAAAATTTATCAGAATCTGATGTTGGATTTGTCAACAGAATGGACCTACAATATACCGTAGTAGAACTGTCTTTGAAGATGCAACTCCAGAGTTGGTGAGGGATTTCTTTTGGGATGATGACTTTCGTCCTAAATGGGATGCTATGCTTGGATATTGCGAAGTATTGGAGGAATGCCCTCATAATGGAACAATGATTTCTCACTGGATTAAAAAGGTATTTGGACTACAGATCTTAGAGTCTGTTTAATGTCAACTGTACAGTGGTATTTGGCTCAGTAATGCCTCTTTTAATCCTTCTGCCTGTGCCATGTAGTTCCCTTTCTTTTGTAGTGATCGAGAATATATTATTGCTCGAAGAATATGGCAGGCTGGAAATACATATTATTGTGTGTCGAAGGTACGGTTGTGACATGGTTCTCTTCAACTTCATGGCACTTTGTTGTGGCTTGTTTCTGTTTCTCTCACTAAAGCTAGAAAAATCTAATTGATTTGAAGACACTAACCATGGAAGTTTTGATTTTTTTCATTAGAAATAATGGGACGGGGAAGGATGGATTATGCCTAAAGGAAAAGAATAGATGCAAAAACATCCCATCTCCCTCCCCAAAACAAAAATGTATAAACACAGATAAAAAACATCACAAAATCTTAGTTGAAGCTAATTGGTTTTGAGAAATTCATATGTAGCAGTTTTAACTTTTAACCAAGTCATTGAATGGGTTAATCATGTAGACATATGATTTGAACTCTTTTACAGGTTATACTTTGTTGGACAATTTGAATATACCTCTGTTGGTGAAACTTATTGTTTTACTTTTAGTGTCTCTTGCACATGTCTGGTTATTTCTGTATGTTTTAGTAATTAATGGAATCCCTTAGTTTTTACGAATTAAAATTTCATTAAAACTGCAACATTATAAATCAAAAGGATTGGCCTTGGGATTTCAAGTGCATGACGCCACAGATATTAGTCTAATGACACCATTCCGTTGCCTTTACTTAACAGTTTCTTAAATCTTTGTACAATAAAAAAAAATTCTTAACTTTTTTAATCATGTGTTTTCTTTACTCCATCACTTGCAAAGTATTTTCTACTTTATTCAAAGAATTTGTTCTGATGTTTTGTTGCTTCCTATATAATCCATTTCTCATACTTTTACTTATTAATCTCAGTCTGTACGACATATATAAACTTATATCTGTGCTGTTAATAGATTTTTTTTCTTAAAAAGAGACATAAACACGTAATTATTATTCTGCATAAGCACAGGGTTTATTACTATTTAATCTTCAATGCTGTAGGGAGTGCCCTATCCAAGTTTGCCAAAACGAGACAAGCCCAGACGTGTAGAGCACTATTTTTCTAGTTGGGTAATCAAACCTGGTAAGAATAGTTAGAAAACAACAATTATTTGCTTGTTACTAGTA